ATACTATGGTTGACAACGCATGCAGCAGTGCCCACTGCGGCATGGGTTTATCATCGAGTACACCATGGTGACCGGTTTTGTAGATGATGTGTTGCTGGGTATGTTATGGAGGATTTGGTGCATATATATGGATTGGTTGCCTTAAATTGCAGTCTTTTTGGTGGTGGTGGCGTGACATTGTGACGCCCCCAACCTCACGCCCAGCGCGACTTCCTGTTCGGAGTGGGATGGGGGTCCGGAAGTGCGAAAAGGGGTGTACCAAGGATTTTTGGGGAATTTGGGGTGGAGTCCCAGGTCGGAACTGAGATCTCCTGTGGCAAGTTTCAGGGGTAAGAGTGCAAATGTCTTCTGGCTCAGAGTGGGAGCGACGACCGATCGTGCCACCTAGGCCGGGGTGGGGTGCTTTAGGTATCTCCACGTGAGCGCTCGTACCGCTGCTGACCGTCACACGTCTCGGGGTCCGACGAAGACGGGCTGGGTTCTCGTTGGTCGGTCCTGGGGTGGGCTCGTTGCGTGACCCTCGCTTGCCGACGCTCGTCGGGCTGCCGGCACTCTTAGCACGGCGGATGGGGCCAGAACCGGGCTATGGAATCCCAGGGGACCACGAGTAGCCGATGGTAGGGGAGGACAGTATAGTAGGGAGGGAAGTCAGTGGTAATGGCAATGAAGCCTGAGGTTAGAAGATATTGCTGGTTTCGGTTGTCGGGATAATCAGGAATCCGCGAGTCTCGGTTGATTGCCAGCTGGAAGTCGCCCCTGTACAGTCGCTCGTTTTCAGTCCGGCAGGGGTACTCAAGATACCCCGAGTTCCGTAGATGACGCTGTTGTCGGGTTCGCTGCTTGTAGATTTGTTCCCTTTCCCAGTACGCTCGGTATTCGGGGTCCCTCAGGCTTTCGCGATCGGTGATCCAGAAGGGAGAATCTATCGCCATGTTGAACCGAATTCTTGCATACACACCTTCCTACGGGGCGAGATCGTGGCTAGCTTTTGCAGGCGCACGTGTAGATGGCACGTCCGCGGATGACCGTTGCCTTACACGTGCGTGAGCAAGGGCCAGCCGATCGGACCCTGACCTGCGCAAGTACCCAAGGAGCATCCGCACTGGCTCCGTTATTGCAGCCAACTCCACCAAGCATATACACTCAGCGGTCCTTGTTCGTCCTGACCCGCATCGTAGGTAGGAATTTCATCAGTCTTGTCGAGATCTGTTGGGCTAAGTCTGTTCGGGGCGGCGGGCCATCCTCGTGGATGCGCGTGTAAGCTGCGCTCGTCAGATCGCACTTACACGGAGACCCACGGGGTTGGTCCGTTGTGGATTGATCCGTCAGTTACTCGCCTGTGTAGAAGGAGGTTCATGCAACAACCCTTCGGGTAAAGTTCGTTCAAAGCAGTCGTGTGGTCGTCAGGGGAATATCTCATCACCACCCAGACATACAGTGAAGCATCATAACCATATCAATTCCTTTCTCCTACCAATCATCTGGGCGAGAATAGGCCGGCGCGATGAGCGCAGGATGATTCAGAGATACATGCAAAACATCGGTTATTCCAACAGTACAAGATCATCAGCCCCCTTCCATCAAGCGGATGCAAAAAGTGAAAGAGGGAGGACACATCACACAAAGCCGAAAGAAATGTCGAAAATGCAAAACAAGGGTGTCTCGCCCAGAGCCAAAATTCTATACACAAGGACTGAGGTAAGATAAGGAAGATTACAATCCCATGTTCGTCTGTTTCCTCTCTCTCTCTCTCTCTCTCTCTCTCCCTCTCTCTCTCTCTCTCTCTCTCTCTCTCTCTCTCTCTCTCTCTCTCTCTCTCTCTCTCTAATGCGGACAGTCCGTCGTCTCGCACCTACCAACGAAGTTTTTACCTCGCTTAGTCCGCGCGCGCCTGTCAGGTTCGCCCTTGCGCCACAGTCCGTCGTGGCCTACACGTCAACCCCGCGCACTCGGCACCAGCTCGTCGAGTCACCCAACTCCCACATCAACCCACTTCTTACTTCGCTCATTAGCCGACCCTCACTAATCGCGCTAACCTCGAGCTTCCCAAAAATTTTTAAGAGGGACATCTAACCGCGCCGACGAAATTTATAGCATGCATGCGTGCGCGAAGATGCGAGATTGCAGGGATTGGAAAGAGGAGCAGAGAGAGGAAGTGCATACGCTTGGCATGGCTAGATCGCGGCGTGGGGGACGTAGCCACTCTCCACTCATCAATCCAGGCATGCAGCGCTCAGGCCAATCAGATGCAGCAAAAGGAAGGGACAAAGGGCGGGAAGAAGACGAGGGAACAAGAAAGAAGATACAGTTACAATAGCGCCCGCCCAACGATTACAGTTGTATGCAATATTAAGGGCGCCTCTTAGTCAGAACTTCGTTCCCTCCGCAGAAGAACGCGCGCAAGAAAGGAGCACCGCTCAGCAAGAATTTCAAAAAGTCCTAAATTCCTATCTGAACTCAAAACTGCAGCAGAAAAATTCCGACGAAACAGAAGAAAAGCAAAAAGAAATCAGAATTCCGAGAGCCCTCGGGGGCTCGTTCGTAGGAAAGTTTAAAAATAACACCGAAAAGCTCCCGCGCGATCATCGCGCCAAAAATCTCCGTTCCCTCCTTTTACTCCCAGTAGAGCAAGAACGAACCATCGCCAACTGTTATTGATCACGCCCAACGGGGCGCGCACACTCAACCGTCTGTCCCGGGCCTGTCCCACCACCGCCGAAGGGGAAGGAGCAAAGCGAAGAAAAAGAAAGAAGCGAGGTCACTGACGCAATTTACCCGCCGATCCCACCTCCCACAATTTGCCAAATCTTCCCACCTCAGGACCCCTCATTGTCATGACCTGAAAAATGGGGGGTCGGTTAACCTTCTCTCGCAGAAAGTCGCGCGGCACAGAAAGTGGTTCGTCACAACATGACCCCCTGCTCTGGCCGTTTGGCCAGTGTGTGGACTGATGAAGGAATCTTGTTGGGCTCCTTGAGTTGCGATTTGACTCCCTCTGATCGGTATCGTTTTGAGACGATTAGGGGAGCTATATTCTGGACAATGTGGAAAGTGAGGAATGCTTAGGTCTGGCAGGGGAGGCTGTATCCTTGCAGCAGTTACAAGGCCTGGTCAAGCAAGCTCTTAGGTTGGTTGCGGAGGTCGATTGGTCTAGGAAAGTGCGCCGGACTGGAATGGGTTCTGCAGCATTGGGCGGGGCGCCCGAGCCTGGTGCAACTGGATAAGCAACTACTATTTTTTTCCCTTTGGTCCCGTTTTGCGGGAATAGTGTACTGCTGGAGGGTCCCGGTGGGGCCCGATTGATGTTTGCTTGTGGGGTACGTAACATTTGGGAGGGCTGGGGCTCCGGGCTCCGGGTGCAGTAGGACTACCCGACTGACCCCCTTTGGTGGTTGTGTTTTGCCTTGGGCACTGGGTCCTGCTACAAAAAAAGGAAAGAGAAAGAAGTCTCCGAAGTGCGCAGGGCAGAACATGAAGGCATTACACCATCCCTTCTTCTCATCAATCAAGCTCCACTTTCCGGAATTCTGTGTGCCTGGTCGTCCATTTCTCGTAAAATGAAGGGTCCAGAAAGAGGAATCCAAGCAAGCGGGGCATCACCCCCTGTGCTTCAGATCGAGTGCAGCGTTTCTGTGATCCGAGGGTCGTTACTCCGAGTTTATTTTAGCTTCTCCTCTCCAACGTCCGATGGAGCCTCGGCTGAGAGGCGTTGTTTCTGCAGCTGCGCAGGACAGTTAGGGTTACTCCACGATGGGCTTTGCAGTCCTGTCGCGAAAGCCGTGCTCGTTTCCGCACCTAAGGTTTGTTTTCTCATCTCAGGGCAAGGACACACCTGGGGCTAGGTCCCACTTGCACGAATTAAGAGATACTGACCGTAGATAGCAAAGATCAACGGCCGAGATCTCCTAATTTGCGCAAGTGGGACCTTGCCCCTGAGCCGTACTGTATGTCTTCCTTGGGAAGCATGAACCTGGGGCCGATTCAGGCCGCCACTTCCTATATAAATTCCTAAAATCAACGGGCAGACATAAAAAATTCAGTCCGGGTACGTGGGACCTGGGAGAGAAGGTGGTAGTCGTTCATTCGTCAAACTGCGGCTGGATTGCTGGTCTCTCTCTTGCGGATGGTACCTTGCTGGCAGGCTTTCGTCGCTGTCGGCCATTTTCGGTTGAAAAAGTTTTTTTTTTTTGGTTTTCAACAACTAAGAAATGTCAAAAGGAATAATTTGCAAAATACCCCCAAAAGTTGAGATATATGCCAAATGCACCTAAAAGATGTGGGTAGAGCGGAACGCCCTTCTGACAACGAAAATAGTTTGTGAAAAAATACCCCTGGCGTCGGTTTGACCCGCATATTTTCGATATACCCCTACCAGGTACCATCCAACTTTGGAAAACGCCACAATACTTGCAAATTTTTCCTAGTGCTATTTTGCAAAAGGCCAAGCACCAAACGGGGAGGTGCAGATTACAAATTTGGACACCCACCTGACAGGGGCACAACACAAGGATTTCGGCCCAAAAGGGGACTCCGCTCTGCCCACATCTTTCAGGGGTATTTTGGCAAATATCTCAACCCTAAGATGTGGGGCATTTTGGCAAATATCTCAACCCTAAGATGTGGGGCATTTTGGCAAATATCTTAACCCTATGGGGGTATTTTGCAACTTATGCCGTGTAAAAGTTATAAAATATATAATAAAATATAATCAATTTTGTAGGTCAAGTCAGAGAAGCCCTCAGTGCGCGAGGGGTCGGAGGACATAGAGCTGCCGTCGTCCGCGGGGTTCCTTTCCGCCAGTGGCTCGTTGGCGGGTAGAGAGGAACAGGCGGGATCGGCGCTTGCGAGATTGGACCCAGGGGTTGAGGGGGGGGGGGGGGGGAAGGGGGCAAGTCGGACAAGTGAAGGAGAACCCAGAAGACCTACCGGTTGGAAGNGGGGGAGAGAGGGGCAAGTCGGAGATGTGAAGGAGAACCCAGAAGACCTACCGGTTGGAAGTGCGGGAGGCGGGGGGCAAAGGGTGCGTACCGTGTTGTTGTTGGGAAGACAGAGGGAAGGAGGAGGGCAGGAAGAGGAGGACAGGGAGAGGAGGAGAATTGAGACAGGTGGAAGGTGTTTTCGTCGTCTCAGTGGAAGAGAATACGTCAGCTTAGGACTTGCTGGAGCAGGAAGACGCTTGCGGGCGATGGCGGGCGGAGGCGGCGGAGGCGGCGATGGTCGCGGCAGGCTGTCGTCGTCCTGCGGGAGACGCATTTGTTTCCTTAGTGCTGCAAAATGGCCTCTCTTGTTTCTTGTTTCTTGTGTCCTTGCTTGCAGCTATGGTGGAAAAGCGGGAGGTGGAGTTATGGCATTGGGCCCTGCTGGCTTGACCGTGGAAGACAAAGCGGTTTTGCGCAGTTTGTTCGTTGGGATTCAGAACTTGAAAGCGGGAGTTGATGGCGACGGGTTGATGGAGGAGATCTATGCCGCGACGAAGGCCGGGGCTATCTTGGAAAGTCTCCCATCGATGGGGGAGGGCATATTGTCGGACGGAGGACTAGTAGATAAATACCTCCTAAGGAAAATTGGGGAGGGGAAGACAGCTGAGCAGTATTACTTCATCTTACAGACGGCTGGAATATTGAATCTGCAAGTGACGCAGAAGCTGGCTCTGACGAAGGCGGTTCCCATCTTCTGGTCAACGCTAAGGAGCAGCCGAGCGCTGATGCCGTTGTTTTACGCGGTCAAGGGGCTGCAAACGGCGAAAGAAGAGGGGGGATCTCTGGAGAGTATCGAGGGAGGAGGGGACACTGCGGAGAAGAAACGCACTCTCGAGGACACCCTGAACAGAGTGAAAGCTCTGGGGTCAGCGTCGGACGGCACGTGGAGCAAAGAGAAGGGAGGGAAGACGACGGCCACGTCGACCGGATTTGCTTTCCAGGCGGTGGCCGCCATCGCCGATCTGCTTGGTGGTGGTGCCGATGGCCAAGACTCGTTGTCGGCTTCGTCGCCTTCAGGAGCAGCAACCGTGGCGGCCATAGCCGGCTATGTGCCTAAGCTGTTCTCGACGGCGGAGACCTCCGACGATGGACGGCTACGATTCGAAGATCAAGAGAATGGCGCGCTGATTGCAACAGCCTCTGTCTTGACAGGATTATCGGCGCTCCTCGAAGTACCGGCCGTGCAATCGGCGGTGAAATGGTCGGGGGACAAGCTGGCGGCGGGAACCAACTTCCTCCTAACGGAGGCGGCTACCACCACCTACCCGTCGGAAGCACTCTTCGTTCTCGAATCCGTCGATATGCTATCACGCAATCCCATCGCCGTGCCCCTCGTGATATCGCTGATCTCGTCGCCAGCAATCTCCTTCGGCGCAGATGAGAAGCTCAAGGTCGCTGTTACTAATCCCTCTGGAGACCGACTGAACGAGATGACCGTTGTTCTGGAGAGTGCCACGCGTGTGGGAGGGAGTAGTAAGAAGCAACCCGTGGCGTTGAAGAACAAGCGGCTGAAGGAAGTCCCTCTGCCAGAGGGGGTCATGTCCATCTACGAGCTGGCGGTTCCGATGGACTCGTTCGACCTGGGCAAGTACGAGATCAGGCTGACAGCTACGCCATCGCCGTACGAGACGCATTATCTTCCAGCGGATGTGACGTCAGTCATCAAAGTGACAGGAGTGGTGGACGTGGGAGATGTCAAACTCGCCGTGCTGGATAGCGACACCGGTTTGCCGTCGAAGGAGACGTCTCTGGCGTATGGCACGTCGGGCACGGCCGCCATATCGGCGACGCATCTGCAGAAACTCCGCTTGTCGTTCAAGCTGAAGTCCCCGAGCGGAAGACCTTTCCTACCTCAACAAGCGTTCGTGAAGTTCGTCCACGTGTCAAGCAGCACCGCCCACCTGTACGTCGCGAAGCCAGACGACAAGGGAGAGGCCCTCGCCGTGCAGCTCGACTTCTTGGAGGCTATGGAGAAGTCCAACTTCCTCTCCGGCGCGTACTCCATCTCTCTTATCGTCGGCGACGCGTGTATGGAGAATCCCCTCCTCTGGGCATTGGGAGAGTTGGACCTGGATCTCCCGAAGCCGCCGCTTTCCAAGCCGACGTCTTCGTCGACGGAGGGATCATCCCGACTACCGAAGATGGCGACACCCCAGTACGGTCCGCAGCCCGAGATCGAACACGTGTTCCGCAAGCCGGAGAAACAGCCGCCAGCGTACGTGTCGTACGCTTTCTGTGGCCTTCTGCTGCTGCCTTTCTTCGGCTTTTTGTACGGTTTGAGCAAGGCCGAGGCCAATCTCAAGTCATTCCCGACGTCTGGACTTCCTTTGCTTGCCTCCGTTGCCTTCGTCGGCGGAATTTTCAGCATTCTCCTCGTCTACGCTCTCTTCTGGTGGAAATGGAATCTCTTCACCACGATCAAGCTTCTTCTGCCCTTGGGAACTTTCACCGCCTTCACCGGCCATTTCGCCTTGTCCTTCCTCGCGGATGCACGGAAAGAGAAGGTGGCGTAGTGAGTGAGGTCGCTGGTGGGAATGACAAAAAAAATTCGAGAGAACAAGAGCGGCGGCCGGCAGCAGCAGCAGCAACGAACGAGGCATAGACAAGAGGGGGTGGGGGGGAGGGGGGGTGTCGCAAAACCCTAATTTGACTAACTCCTGCGGGAACGGGGCAAACAAAAAACCCTAACCTGACTATGAGTTCTGAGAGAACGGGGCAAACGCAAAACTCTAATATGCGTTCTTCTCTCTCCCCTAACCCTAGCTCGCGCCATTCAGGTTACCCTTCTCCCTATACCTACCGCCGGAAGAGTCTTCTGCTCCTCTCCTCTTCTCCTCCTCCTCCTCCTCCTCCTCCTCCTCCTCTTCCTCCTTTTCTGCCTCACCTCCTTCCTCTTCCTCCCTGCCTTCTATCACACCCGCTCTCTCCCTAAGCGCTTCTGAACCAGTCGTCGTTTGCGTTTGGTGATGTATCAGTCACCAAGTCTGTCAGCGGGAGCATCTGTCATCGGCGCGCAGTTACTCGCGTATGTTCAGTGCCCGGTGGCTCAATCATCCTTTGCCTAATGCCTTTTTGCTTGCCCCTATCTGGCGCTTGTCGGCGCGGGAAGAGTCGGGGAGGAAAATGGGGGAAAGGGGGGGGGGRGGAGGGGGGGGGGGGGGGGGGAAAGCACTAAAGCCATGCGCGCGCGTATGTCGGACGGAGAGCAGGAAGGGGGTGACACGTAGAGAAGAGGCCGCCGGGCGCTCGTTTGCCCCCAGGAAGAAGTGTGCGTTCTTGGCACATGAGTCGTTCCGCGCCTTGCGCGTCTGAAAGGACAGGGGGTGGGTGACTTGGAGGCGAAGAGGCAAGAGGGAGCGATGCGGCGAAGAAGCGGCGGGTTGTGATTGGCTGTTTGAAGGCGAACTCGCATGGTGCGTGTTTGAATCCTTCTCTCGTTACTATCGACCCGTTTTCTACTGGCAAGAGATTTCTTCTTTTGGTTGTTGGATGCTCAGCTATTATCTTTGTTGAGACAGAAGAACCTCTTTGGTCTTTCTTTCATCTGTGGAGAGAAAGGCGTGATAAGCATGTCTTACGCGGAGTGAATAGATAGTGGGAAATCATCAGCATCAGTTTAGGAGTAGACCCAGTTTGGTGTTCGGCGGCTTAACGCAGTTGATTGCGTTGTTCGATTTTGCTGAGACGAGCGCCTATGATGCTTATCTTCTCCTCACCTGGTGTCCTTCCACTTCCTCGGAACTGCTCTGTTGTCTCCTGCAATAAGGATAGTGTCAGCTTGAAAGTCCTTATGAATGATGATGATGATGATGATGATAATGATGACGATGATGATGAAGGTGATGATGATGGATAGTGCGGAGCGTTGCTGTCACGTGTGGTTTGTCAGGCAATTGGTGAGGCTAGTGATCTTGCAGGGCAAGTCGCCGGCCTTCTCTCTCTCTATCTGTTTCTCGCGAGACCGGGGGGGAATGAGGGGAAAGGCGGGGTTGGTAGGGGAAGAGGAAGACGAGGGTGAAGTGGGAGAGGAGGGGAAGGATCAGAGAAAGGAGGCGAGTTGGAGGTTCGAAGGGAGGGGAAGAGGGAGAGGGGGGGTGAAGTGGGAGAGAGGGGGGAAATGATAAGAAGAAGGCGTGCGCGGAAGAGAATAGGGCCAAGGAAGGGGGTGTGAGGTAGGGGAGGAGGGGACGATCGGACGGAGGGCAGCATGGAGAGGTAATTAGGAGCGCAAGGAGAAGGGAGAGAACTCGAGGCGTTTTCTTAGCCTTCCTGAGCGGGTTGTTGGCGTCTTAAGAGTCTGTCGGTGATTGGTTGTAGTCTGCCCTTGGTGTGGGTAGCATGTGCGGGAAATTGCCTTGTTCAATTTTGAAAGGGAAAAAAAGGGAAATTCAGAGTGAGAGCAAGAGAAACGTTGCTTTTGTTTACAATGGGACCGGTGGGTGTCGTCGATGTATTTTGCCTTTGCTTGTCCTCTTGTGACATCGAACGTGCAATGTGTGTTGTTGATCTGTACGTGTCGTCTTTGCGTGCCGTCTCTGTCATTCTGGTGGTTTACCACATACATCGTGGCGCATGTGAAACGAATGGATATGGCCGTGTTTTGCGTGTATGTGCCAGAAACTCCCTTTCTGTCGTTGGCTTGTACTAAAAGAGCTGATGGAAGTACTGGACAATGGACAGAAGTGAGGATTGACCTCACCGCCAGATGATTGGCGTAATCGTCGTTGTCCTCTTAGTCGTAGGCACGTTGGCGTGCTCGGAACTGGCCGGAAAAGTAGTGAGTAATTGCAAGTGAGTAACAATTGTTGAGGAGATGAAAACCCGGGGGGGGGAGAGAGAGAGAGAGAGAGAGAGAGAGAGCTGGA